TGTATAAGAGACAGCTGACACTTGCAACGGGACTTGGTCTACTTAGGCCTAGGCCTACAATTTGATAATTCTAAACATAGAATCACTATTAATATGACTTGATATGCAACAGAAATCTACATACGATATGTATATCCTGTAATCACATTAAAAAGTATGTTGGTTTTTCTTAAGTTCAATTTTGTTTGATCGTTGCTTACTTCGTTAATTATTCGGTTTCCTTTTCCCATTCCAGGGCAATAATTTGTGAAAAGTTCTTTTCTCATGATGAATAAACATACCATCTGTAGGAATAAGGAGAGCAAACAGTATTTTTTCATTTCATTTTATTTATTTTTCAAGCAATTACAAAAACAAAATAAAACCAAAGCATCCCTACTGTCGGTGACAGGATAAACGAAAAGCAAACTTAATTGTTGTGTTAATTTTTTTGCGGACGACAAGGGCAACACGGCATGATTAACAATGGAATAGTCCATACTCATTGGAGATGACCAGGCCTTTAAATATTAAAATACACTAAAAACAAAATTAAATTGTATAGTATTAGCCGATTTAAGATCATGTGCGATATTGCAACATGAATTCCCCAGATTCCAGTTCATATTCCAAATAAGCTTATATGAATGTTAGTCTGGCTGAACTCAACGGCTTTCTGTGGTTTGTGGTAAAGGATAACTCTTCAGTGTAAATACTTTTAGATAATTATAAGGACATTCGCTGACCACAACTACAATTTGTGGTATACAAAGTTAAACAAGTAGGAGTTTATTGTATTGCAGTCAATCTGATACTGACACCGACTCTACCGGGACGAGCAATAAACGAGCCACCATCCACTTAAACTCGATACATCTATAATATAATAGATTTGCTGTGTGCGCGATCATTGGCGGATCCAGTCATGGAGGGAGAAGGGAGAATAGGGTAGCTAGCTACCCCCTATCTTTCATTTGAAAAATCCTCAGATATAGCCCTCCGTGACCAAATACAAAGTAACCTTTGTTTTTTTTTAGGCCTACATAGGCCTATACTTTGTATTTTTTTCTTAAACATAGGTCTACGCCATATATTCAATTCCCATTCCACACACATTCAATCAAACCATTGAACTACACATTTTCAAGCATTTATAATTTACAAGTGATTAACTTTCATTAAAAACACAAGTTAGTTTTTATACTTTTTGCTACGATAATTTAAATGGTTTGAAAGACAACGGCTGAAGTTACAACATGACCAATAATTAAAAATTTAATAACGGTTTAACTATTTAATGTTTTATTATTTGAATTATTATTATTAGTTCAGCACCACAAACAGTATGTATAAGTTCTACTGTTTTCTCTACTCTCTCCGTTCCACGCGCCTCAGGATATTGGTTAAGTAACAATTATTGTTGTGTCTTCTTAATAATGTATAAATAATAATAATAATATTAATAATAATAATAATAATAATAATAATGATAATAATAATAATAATAATAATAATAATAATAATAATAATAATAATAATAATAATAATAATAATATTTCCAAATGATCGATAAGACAATATACAACTAATAAAATTTAAAAATACGACGATACTTTTGATTAATATCATGTCAGGCAATGCCTAGAAACTTTTTCAATAATAATAATAATAATAATAATAATAATAATAAGAGTAATAATAATAGTAATAATAATAATAATCTTGAAATTTTAAAAGATTGTTATCGATTTATTTGTACAGTGAACTGATTTAGAACTACTGCAAATTCTAAAACGAAATCTATCTGAGTTAATGCGGTGGATAAAACCCAGATATCTTTACTCATGAAGCAATTTAACGGTTGGCATGGTTTGTTGCAAAGTGCCACCGGATTATTCATTCTTTTTAATTGAGTCCAAGGTTACATCCCTCCCATCCATTCATCTACACACATGTTTAAATGAGCAAAATTGAAGTCACGAATTTTATATTATTCGATATCGTATGGAAATTAAAATAGATGGCCGGACCTTAAGTTAAAAATATAAACGAAATTTGGCACACATTTTTTATTTAATATTTCCATAACGAATAATGCAAGTTTATCCCATAATGAATATGCAGGATTCGGGAAACGGCTGTCATTCGCTATTAGAGGCGCACAAAAGTTGAAAAAAAAAGTTATAGAAAAAACGAGTGCTAATTATTTGTAGTTTGCTAGTCACAATAAAATGTTTAATCTGCTGCTGAAGTGGTTTAATAAATTAAAATGAAAAGCGTATAATTGCATTATGATGAAAAGCCACGATATCAGGTGCACTGTATCTAAATCAATGTATAAATGGTGTTTCAGGGGTCAATATTTTACATAATTAATCATATTAAGGAAAATGATTGGCAATGAATTTGAAGTGGCAGGCTGCTGTTGAAATGTCATGTCATTTTATCTACAGACCTAGAGTGCAAAATGCCGCTGGAGAAAAAATCACTGGCTGGTAAAAAATACGGGTGACACATAGCCGATTGAAAAAAAAAAAGAAAAAAAAACACATGTAACAAAAAACCGGTGATTTCTAACTGACGAAAAATTATGCGGAGTACGCGTGCTAATGTACATGTAGACTTACATTTAGGCCAGCAAGAGGCATCAACGTAGCTGAATTATTGTGCCAATATTCCGCATCATACTGTAGAAATTCGAAATCATATTTTACCTGTGTTTGAAGTAAAAAGAAAGACCCAGTCAGGGGCGCTAATAATAATGATAATATTAATGATGATGATGATGATGATGATGATGATGATGATGATGATGATGATGATGATGATGATGATGATTATGATGATCATGATTATGATGATGGTCGTATTAACAATAATAATAACAATGGTTGTTTTTAAATATAACGTTTTTATTAGGTACTATGAGTAGCAAATACCAGGGCAATACCAGTACTTACCCAGAAGTTAGTGTGTTTAGGATCCACAGATTCCGCGTGTGTTAAGCATTTGTCTAGCACACTCTACAACAGAATCAGAATAATATTATTTTGCAATTTAGGAACAACATTTTGTTCTTACCAGAAGCATAGAACAGTAATATTAAATAGTTCACGATACAATGAGATAAGAATTTAGACTATACTTAATAAAATACAATTTGTACCTATCAGAAGTTTATTCACATATTATATTATGCGCCAATGACAAGAGGCCTAGGCCTACTAATGACTACCTACATATAATTATACTGATACAATATACAAATATTTGTAATCAACATGACGTTACTATCAATGAAAAGCAATCGCTGCTTGCAAGCAACGTTGTACAGTGGATGAAATGAATTTTTAGTTTGTTAATGGCTAAATCATTCTCTAAAAGACCCATGTCATTAAATGAAAAAAATACAATATTATCCTCAAAGATTAAAAAAAAAAAAAACAATAACCAAAGAGAATGCTTATTAACGTTATAATATAACATTCTGGATTCCTATCGCTCGGCTTTTGACTCAGCCAATGCTGTGTGCTTAGCATAATAATAATTGTGCATTGTAATTATTACAGTGTAATTAATATTTATTATAGCAGATTGCGCCCTCTGTCAACTTTATCTAGGAACCAAAAAAATCGCTGCTGGGACGGAAGCTTTCAGATTGCAATTGCGTACTGCACTATGATACAAACTCATCGAGTATCGCATGCAAAATTTACTTAATAAACGCCTTCCTGAAAGTGGCACAATTAGTCTAGATAGTTGAGATTATAGTCTAAGCAATGTGGATGAATAGTAAGAAAGTATAATTACTAATTCTGTATTCCCGATGGGAATGTTCGTGCTCGATGACTCAGAGGCGATCCAGGTGTTACTGCTTCAAGAAGGAGGGATATGTTTTCTCCCTTGAAGGCTCTAAAATTTTACCGTTATAATTTCTCATCCAGTGGGGGCCTTGTCTTTTAAGGAAAACTCAAATTCGTCGGTTTGGCGCAGCGGGAACGGTTTGGTTTTGAACCCGACCCTTAGGATATTATTATTATAAATATAATTTTAGTGATGCTTATATGTGAAAACGTACCTTCGCTACTGCTGGTAATACCTCAATGAAACCGTGCATAGGTGTTTTTTTAGAGTGATTGTAATTAGCCATCACCTCCTTCCATCTTTCGTGATTTACCAAAGCCAACGATACATCCTTGAACTTGTTTTCTATCGCAACATCAATAACGTAGTCGCCATCTGAGTTTGGTAACACATCAGCTTTTTGAGACAAGAGAAAGGACACACTTGCACTTTGGCCACTCATTGCAGAAAGGTGTAGGGCTGTATTCTGAATTGATTTACAAAAAACATTAACGTATTAAACCTATAAATATCTCTAAACAACTAATAATGTTTTTATGATACAGCACCTTACACAAAATATCATATTGAATTACACTTTCATAATACTTGGATTTAAAATACTTAACCCATATAATATTTTAACAGGTTAAGTTATACTCAAATTTCATATTATGCTGCTAGATTTCGGTTTGTGCTATCGTTGTAAATAAACACAGGCCTATGTTATTTTTATTTTAAAAGAATTTTGTTTAAAATTGAGTGCAAAATTGTTATAATTTTAATAGATATACGTTTGCATTTCCGTTATTTTATGTTTTTTATAGAATCGATAAAAAGGGTAAAAAAGAAAGGAAAATCAAGAAAAAGGTAAATTATCAAGAGATTGTACAGTATAACATGCTATTGTAATGTAATTGATGCATTGATTAATAAAGTGGTGGTTCTCATACCACAAAACTATCATAATGATTGCAACGTTAATATCATGGTCACTAAATAACAGCTGGCAAACCTAGACAACATGCTAACCTTCTTCTCTTTCTTTAACATTTATTCTAATGTATCCATAGACATACTTTTTGTTTATCTTTTGTGGGGTCATCCCACCTTTATTCACCAAAACGACAAATCATTGCACAAACACAAACACACGCACACACAAATAAAGACTTCAAAACATCAATTCAGACATAGTGAACCATAATGCAATATGGTAGTAGTAATATGGTAGTATAAAGTACTGTGCGTCATCTTCAACAACGTTACACTTTGGACATGTATTATCATTGATAACTCTCCGTGCGTGTAGCCTTTTCCTGTAGGAACAATGCTATGCAATATTTCATAGGTCAACTTTTTGACCTTGTTTTCTTTAATAAACTTCACTTTCAGTGACCAGGTTAATTCCGTATTAAAATATTTTTGGCTATTCGTTTGACAATTTATATATAAAGCAATTATAAATTTGTTTACAATTCATATTGCACCAACTGTTCACTGCTTGGAGTATGTTTTTTTGTTTTACATTTTTATTTTTTGAAAAAAAAAACATATTTTTACATTCTTTCGGAATTGCCATCAATAAATTAGAAAATTCTGATATCCACTTTGAGTTGCTATTTAACAATAATAATAGCTTATTTGAGTTAATAAAATCTTTACCAACAACTATATACTAGCTTTAGTCCAGAAACCCTTCCGAATTCCTTAATTTTATATAAGCTTTTTGGTACTGTTCATCGTTGATATATAGAACCGTGTCGTCGGAAAGTTGTCCAATTTTCACTTTATTTACACGTGAAAAAAAAACTTAATAATATAATACATTTAATCGAATTATTATTTCGCAGTCTTACAGCCATACAGTAGTTTATAGCAATATCAGCCTTGTCTAATGCCTCTATTTTTTTTTTTTTAACTATTTGAACATCACCAATTATTCATGATATTACATTCAGTATCACAATACAATACATTTACCAACTTTATACAAAATATGGGCCAAAGTTAAAGTGTTGCAATGAACTAACTAGGGGTCTCTGTTGATAGTGGCGGCGCCAGGATTTTCCCGAGGTGGGTTCAAGGTCCCCGACGGGGAGGGGGGCTGATATCCCCAACGAGAAAAAAAGTGGGCGTGGTCGGGCGTCGCTAAGAACCTTTCGAAATTGGTCCAGAGGGACGTAGCCCCCACCCCCCGAAAATATGACAATTTAGGGTTTCAAAGGCTTATTCAATCGATTTTAGGGTCTATTAATATGTACAAAATACATAATTCTTTTGAATGTTTTTTTTTTCTCTGAAGAATTGTGTATCCCCCACTATCCCCCGTAGCGCCGCGTTGAAAGCTTTACTAAAACCTAAGCTAATCAGAGCCCCTGTTAGGTTGTTAATATCCATATATTCATTCACATTTTCTATTAGTCTAATATTTTTGCCGCCAAAGTGATGCCAAATATTTTTTTTATAACTTTTTGTAATCTTCTTGTTAAACCGAATGCGGCAATAGTCTACATTTGGAAAGTTATAGGTCTCAAACTGCCTAGGTCTTTGTGCTGGTCATGTTTGTATATTAAGTTTAATGCCCCTCTTCGTTGAGAATTTGATAATTATCCAATTTCTAAACACCGATTTAGGGCATTACATACTAAATTTCCAATTTGGGCCAGAAAAAATAAATAAAAACTCTACTGTTAGGCCGTCTGACCCAGGTACTTTATTAGTTTTCATAGTGCGTAGTGAATTTTCACATTCATGTATTTCACATTCAGGAATCGTTAGTTTAGAAGAATTTGTTAAAAATAAATATTTATGAACGTCAGTCTTACTAATGTTTTCACTTGCATAAAAATTCTTAAAGTGCTTTTATTTCTTCGAAAAAATGTCCTTGGTGTTTACAACGTGTGTTCCATCGGACATTTTTTATTTTTTAAATTTCTTTTTTCCTACCATTATTTTTTTCTAGTCCTATGAAGTATTTTGAATTTGTTTCCCCTTCTTTTTCCCATTTTGTTCTGGATCGGATTTGAGCACCTTTGGCTTAATATGCATAGAGGGCTTATATATTTTCTGGTTCTTTTGTTTTCATTTTAATTTCTAAGACTATTCTTTCATCGCCGTGATTCTCAATCAGATTATCGTTTAGTACTTTTATTTTTTGTAAATTTCCTTTTTTAACTTATATTTTACCAAAGTGTATTGCGTAGGCCTACTCTTTAAATTTTGTTTTAACTATTTCCCACTTATCTATCGGGTTAAGAAATTTATTGTTTTGTTCACACTCATCGATGATTTCATTAATTTTGCTGGTAAAAATAGTATCATTGAGATAACTCGAGTTTAATTTCCATAATCCTGGGCCACGTTTTTCTCCAAGTACATCAAGTTTAATTGAAACACCTTAATGATTAGTAAAAATTGCAGGTCTAATATCACATAAAATACTATTTTGCCTATCATATGAGCTCTTTGACACAAACCAGTAAGCTAGCCTCTTAAATAGTTTTGCTGATTTTCTGCGCCATGTAAATTGAATTTTATCTTAGTTGTGAAATCTCCAACCATCAATTAGTTTTAGCTTCTTCATAACGCTTTTGAGCGGTAAACTTGGAGTTATCTATTTTTATTTTGCTACCCATTTGGTCATATAGATTATCCTGAATACAATTCATATTCCCTCCAACAATAATATATTGCGTATCGCACCATTTGTGGATTTGCTCTTCGAGAATTCTGAAAAAAGACTTTCATTTATTATCATTTGGCGAACAGACATTTACTAGAGTAAATTGAGTAACACAGACTAACAGACGATATTTAGAATGATAAATCTACCTGAGCTATCAATTTGTTGGTTTAGGCATTTGTAGTCCATATCTTTCTTTTTTTTAATAGATAACCTTCTGCTAAAGGAGAAGCCAAAACCATGGGACGCATCTCCCTCCCATAGACAATTTATATTTGTGAGATCTTGAGTAAAATGCGTCTCTTGGAAATCAATCGTGTTGTCTTTTACCCAGGTAAAAATCTCATTTTGTTTTTAACTCTTGAGACACGAACGTTTAACGGTAAACAATGCAGGCCTTTGTGAATATTTTTACCCATGTTGTTTCAATTACAGATTAGGTAAAATCTCTATAACAAATACAAAAAAGTAAGTATACTTGCTTAAAGTAGGCCTAAGTATAACAACATGTCCTTATGTTGACTTTGCTTCT